GCGGCGAGAACTCCTCGTCCATGGCTGGTGACCTCGAGGCGAAGCGTGCAAAGTGCGACGAGTATGGAGCTATGGATTGACTGGTCTGGATGGAGACATGGGTGGAGTTACTGGGGTTGGGGGACGGACGGACAGGGGTTGGCCGGGGGTATAAGAATGGCGGCTCCGGGCTTCAAAGTCCAACCGGAGCGAAGGTTCGAGGAAGCAAGGGCGCGGCCCGGCACGGAGACTAGAATGCGACTCTGGCTGAGGCGACGGAGAGAGGAGACGCAAGACAACAAGTTGGCTAACCATACCACTCTCGTCTGCCCCACAGAGTGTAAAGCATGGTGAGATGAACTCAGGGCATTTCCAACGGTGTGCATCAAAACATTTGCTAGGCGTGGTTCAAACATTTTGAGCATTGCGCATAAAAGGACTTCGACACATCCGACCCATCCAATCACCTACCAGCAGTGGCGGCTCAAGGAATTTGCAACCGGATATTCATGTGTATTCATTTTACCAAAATCATTGCTGTTTTTTAAAAAATTGTCACTCTTTTGCCAAAATCAACATTGTTTTATAAAAATCATGGGTATTCACATGAAGACCTAAGAATACCCCTAGCGCCGCCCCTGCCTACCAGGGCCCTTTCCCCACTCCGTTCCTCCCCTGTATCTGCACCCAACAAGACCGTTGCCGCCTTTATACCACTCCGCCTGCCGCCCAGTTCTTGCCGTACCACCCTTGCTCTACTAAGGGCGCCCTATACTTCGTCGTCGTTGCATCCTCGGATCCGTCTGCACCCACATGCATCATCCGCCCCCTTGCTGACGCCGTTCATGGTGGACACCACGCCTCGCAAGTGTTCGCCCAAAAGCCATTGCGAATCTTTTTGACTTTCCCCTTATTTTGAAGCAAGCGGGAAGGTGGCGGGGTATTGATGAGGAAGGATCCATTGTCATGTCCATTTTTGGTTTTATGAGCACAAGCACTAAGTGCCCCTACAATTTGGATGTGATCCATGATCGCCAAGGCCGGGCCGGCGAAATCCAAAGCCCCGTGTGCGGGCCTATCTCACTAAAAAAGATGAACTAACGAGCAATTCTAATAAATAGGTCCATAGCACCTTTGTAGGATTTAATTAAATTCTGTTTTTTCTCTCTCTTGCGCTTCTGGAGACAAGATTGATGTTTTCCCATGACGACTCAAATCTGTATTATTAAAACACAAGATACAAAAAATTAATAAAATAAAATTAAAGTGATATGGCAGCAGATGTCAATTGGAGATTATACGTCAATATTTGATAATAGCCCACGCGATACGACGCAAGACAAGTTGAATAACCAGATCACTCTCGTCTCTCCCACAGAGTGACAAGCAGCATGGTGAGATGAACTCAGGGCATCTCCAACTCTGTGCATCAAAACATTGCTAGACGTGGTTCAAACATTTTTAGCATTGTGCATAAAATCGTCCATGAACCGGTCTAGATGTTCGAATTTCATGAAATCAGAAACAAACTTGTGGAAGGATTGGGAGAGTGACATCCGCACGACGGACTACGACACATCCGACCCATCCAACCCCCTACCAGGGCCCTCTTCCCCACTTTAAATTTGTTCCTCCCCTTGCTCTGTAGCCGCACCCATCAAGACCGTCGCCGCCTTTACATCACTCCGTTCGCCGCCCAGTTATTGTTGGACCACCCTTGCTCCACCAAGGCACCACCCTCAGATCCATCCGCACGTAGGTATCATCCGCCACCTGCTGACAACACTCATGGCGGACATCATGCCCGACGGGTGTTCTGCCAAAAGCCATTAGGAATCTTTTTGACTTTCTCCTTATTTTGAAGCAAGCACGAAGGTGGCGGGGTACTCGATGAGGGAGGACATGATATTTTTGTAACATGTGCATTCTTAGTTTCATGAGCACAAACACTATTTGTCCCTACAATTTGGATGTGATCCATGATCGCTAGGGAGTATCGATCAAGATTCAAAGTAGGGCTACACCGTGAACA